AGACTCTTTTGATTACTATAGTTATTCTGCCTTCCTGTATTTACTATTTTTTCTAATCTTAAAATAACAGTTATAACTTCCAAAATGTCACAAGCTTAAATTTTTGTTACATCAACACGTTTTGGAACAAAGCAGGCTGACTCAGGCAAAACTCTTGAAAGACTTGTTGCATTAAATGTCTAAATGAGTGAGGTAGATAAAGATAGATATAAATGATTTATTATATTTCTGGAGAAGTATTTTATAAGTTCACTGACTCTCTCTAAGGTTAGCATTTTTATTACATTTTGCCCTTCTTTGTGAGTCTTATAGGATGAACTGCCTAGCTGGCCAGCACTTATTGCCTAAATATGCTACACTAGAAAGATATATTGCATTTATAAACTATACGGCAAAATGTTAGCTTGTGTAAAAATGCTAAAAAAAATGAGCATTTATACACTTTTAACAAATGCTTAGTCTGCCAAATCTGTCTCTAATTGTTACAGGGATTTCCAGTCCAGAGCTACCATTAAAGATGAATAATATGAGTTTTTGTAAAACTTCTTTAGCAATCCCTAGACTTCCTTTTTTATGCCATAAAAGTTTGAGAAACATAAACAGCACTGAATTGCTTTTGGTCCTGAGTAATGTCGATTTTATTGTTACTTGGGACCTTCAGTATGTTCAAGGAAACCATTTTATTCATATTATTAAATAGGAAGTGATTAAAGAAGACCCTTATAGAATCAGGTAAAGCCAATTCAATATCCTTAAGTCGTTTGAAAATTCAATATGTTTTATTTAGGCAGAATCATATATACTGTATATTAACTATTCCAAGCGATCTTTACCCAGCTCAGAAAGGCCAGATGTAAGGGAATTGTAAAAAATCAGGATATGCATAAAAACTGTTCAAGTGCATAAAGCAGCCCCATCTGGAAGACATCTACCAGAAATGAAGTTGTACAAAACCATTCCATTGATAATAAAGCTAATTTTTATGGGTCTGACAAGTATGTAATTATGTTCAGTGGTGCTTTTCAGATTTTATCACAGTCAATAAACCGCAGTGGTAATTTCATTCCCATTTGACATATTTACATGGAAACATTTGATTGGAGGAATTAGTAACCCTGAAAGCCTTGATAGATATGTTTTAATGATCTGTGACCTCCGCAGTCCCTCATCTGTTTATTGTTGCAACAGGCGAGAAGTCGTTCCTGTGTGACCTCTGTGGCTTTGCCGGCGGGACCCGGCACGCCCTCACGAAGCACCGCAGGCAGCACACAGGTCAGTACCGAGCCTGTTCCTGACCAGCCTCTGCAAAGGCCAGAGTGAGGCATCCAACACCCCAGCCACTGTTCTCGTCACTATTGATTAGTTTCTGTTTAATTTTTATAAAATCTGTGTACTTGAGGGTCTACAGAAAATTCTGTTTGAATAATGTAAGATTTTAAATGGTCTTTTAAAAATATATTTAAAAGTAGACATATTGCATATTTCAGGGATCAGGTATCCTCAATAAATTCATGTTAAATAGGAGGGAAAAAAAAAACGGTTTGGCTCCCAAAGCCCAGATATATGAGGCTGTTTTCTCTTAGGTAAGACTATTCCTTAGGTGTCACAGGTGCAGACTGGGGAGTCCTTGTCAGCCTGTTTCCCTCTCAGTCATTGTCTCTCCCCACCTGGTACCTCCTCTCCCGCCTCCCTGCACAGCTTCCTGCAGGATGCCTGTCCACCACCCCTTTCCTGTCTATCTCTCTGCCTCCCTCCCTCCCTTCACTCCTGCCCATCAGTCTGCCAGTAGATGTGGTTTGAAGTCAATTATTCTTGCTTTTAAGAATTGATAGCAACAAAGAAGCAACATAAGACATAACTATGGATATTGAAGAGGGTATTTTTTCCATGTTGTGCATTCTTGGTGATTCAATAAAATAAAATAGATTCCTTGATCAGGAACATATAAGGCTGAAAAGTTTTAAACATTTATCAAATTTTACTACCTACTTTGTGTAGTGGGTCTTATAAGTAATTATTTTCATAATTCTAATTTATATATGCCTGGGATAGTACCGATTTATGGCCTTGTAATTATTGTTGTCCCTTGTAATTATTAATAGAACTCCTTTTTACTCTCAAATGCGTCCCAGTTAGGTAAGTTACGTGGTAACACAGTTGGTAACTGAATGTTGTACTTTTCTTTGGGTACCATGAGAATGGTTGAGTTTGACAGTCACACTCAAAAATGGTATGAAGTTAAAGTACGTAAAATATGTTATTTATGATACACTATGATTGTTGATATGTTATATTTAGCAGTTATATATAGATAGCTTCAGTGTGCAATATGTTATTTGTAAGAACAGTGAAAATTAATGCCAGCAATTCCTTTTAGATCTTGAATGTATATGATTAAATTTCTATATGTAATAAGAGTTATCGTTGAATCAAAGGGAAATTTCCAATGTTTAGCATAACATTGGAAACAAAAACTTAACTTTGAAAACATAAAACTCCATTTTAAATTTATAGAAGCTACCTGTGCATGCACTATTTTAACCTACTGACTTAAGGATTCAGTTTAAGTGATAACAGGAGGGGCCCAGTGGGTGGCAGTCATCCTTGACCACTGTCACAGAGAAGTTGGGAATAGGTGTGGTAACTGTGCTCATGTGGGCTTTTTCATGCTTAATGTTTTCAGTTTATTGATGCTCAGATTGTTAATTTAATGTCATTGTAGCTCACCTCATCCCACCTGGTGTGGCCCCAAGGGACAACAGACTTCCCTTTTGTGCCACCTCTGCCAGTGGGTACTGCCCCTCTTGCCACCTCAGTGGAGACAGCAGTGCTGTGATCACAGGCGTTCAGGTGATAGATCGATCAAGAAGCCTTCATCAAGCTGGCTCAACTTTATATTTTATGTCAGGTCCAGAGGCTCCTTATTACTTTGCTATTAACTTTATACCATATAGGACAATGTCTCACAGACAGAGGTATCTGTCTTTTTGGCATTTATCTGCCTCTGTGGCACAAATCATACATGATTTGTTAACACCAAAGTCACTTCTTAAGACTGTTTGCTTCAACAAAAGAGCTTAGTCCAACTCAGTCTAGGCACTTTGCTTTTATGCTGGGTTTAAAATATTTAAGCAACACGTAACTCTCCCCACCCCAAGGCCAGACTTGTATGGTTTGTTGGAAATCTATATTTCTCTGATGTGTTCCTCTTTGACATGGTTTACCTTTTTACCACAGAGTGCCCACGCAAATTACAATCAGCTTGGAAAGGGATAGGTATCAGAAGTGTTCCAAATGGCGTAAATAATTCCCTACTGCAATACAGACTGTCTAGGGGGCTGACACAAAACATCTTCCATTCTAAGATTTACTTTTATCACCTGTCAGAGACCCTTGATTCAAGGGCACAGTAGCAAATCCTCATGTGTCGTTGGAGAGTCTTGGCCAGCTTAATAACCACCAGCCCGCCCAAAGGAATGTGAAGTGTGAGTTTCTGTGAGACATGGTCAGCCTGTCTGACAGATGGGTGACACACAGAAGGACACCACACTGTGTCTGCAGCCATTCAGGTGCCCTTGCTTCATTTTTCTTTTACTTTCCTATCAGTGGCACCTAAGCTGCAAAATATTCCCTTATAGTCATTTTGGCCAAGATTATTGCTTGTGAAGGAAAGTATGAAAAACAACACAGTTTAAACTAATATGTACTATTATGTCATGTAAGGAAAAAATAGGAAGAAAGGAAATTTCAACCTTGTTCTGCTTTTTTCAATAGGATATTTACAGATAGCCATGTGGACTTACAGATAACATCATTTGGAAGTAGTTAATAGCTTACTCATAGATGTGTTCATCCTTCTGGCTTTAGAATGACAAAGGATTCAGAAGTACTGTTCCCAAAATGCACCAGATCTGTTCAGCTCACCATCAAAAATGTTTTCTTTAGCAGCTCTGTGCGCCTCTTCATGTAGTACTTGTCTTATTTCAAACAGTTAACAAATATTTAACAAAATGAAATTCTTATTTCAAATTTGTAAGATTTTCTTTCAAACTTTACAGTCTAGAAGTTGGGTTTTTATTTTTGACTATATATCGAGACTACCAAACAAGAAATTCCTTCTATATTTCTACAGTATGTTTTCCTGCAGAAGTTACCTATAAATGATTTTAAAAATTTTACCAGATTACATATTAGAACAATAGTGCTAAGCATGTAACAAAACAGATGAGTTACAAATTAACTATTATATACAGATTTTAATAAATGTATATAGTTTGTATAAAGTGACATGGAATTCTTACCCTATCAAGATCTCAGATATGTATGATCTTTCCTTAGCATAGCATTTTAGGTAGCATGATATTTTTGTAACATTGTATTTTTACGTATCAGCTTGTATATAATTCAGAATTTCATAATATTACACAGTTTAATCTATAGTGTCAAGGTAAATAGGAAGTGACAGTTTATAATTTATTACAGTCTAATACTAACATAATATGAACTTCAAGTTATTAGAAATAAAGAGAATATAAATGCCACTATTCTTTAAAGTATTGGTTCTAAGTTTAAAATTTTTTACATAAAAATGCCCAGGAAGTTTAAATGAAGTAAGCGACAATAAACACATTTTTAAAAGAGCTTATGTTAAATTCCCAAACCAAGAAAATTAAGTCTGAAGATCTTAGATGACATTTAATTTATACCACTGACTTAGGCATTGGGGTCCATAATGTCACCCCTTCAAATACCTCCCAAATCCATGAAAAATGGATAGCTTTAAGGTGTATACCAAGGCTATTACAGTAAATAAGGTAGCAGTGAGTTATAACACCAAAACATTTTACCGTCCTTTAGGTTGAATGGAATGCTAGACACCAGAATATAATTTTGAATTTGCGTAGTGAACAGTATCTTCAAATTGATTGAGTACTTAGATTCATCATGCTAAAATTGAAAGGTTTATACTACCTAACTTGAAGTCTTATTACACAGCTACCATAATCATGACAGTACTGTATTGGTATAAAAATGGACCAGTAAATCAGTGGAACACCATAGTGTTCAGAAACTGACCTGTGCCTGTCTTTGTCAATTGTTTTCAAACAAGGCACCATATTTAGAGATAAATCTAACAAAGGATGTGTACAACCTCTACAGTGGAAACTTCAAAACACTGCTGAAAGAAATTAAGGAAGACCTAGACACCTATACCATGTTCATGGATCAGAAGACTTAATATTGTTAAGATTTCATTTCCTCCTACATTGATCAATCTAAATCCAATCAAGCATTTTTAAAAAAATAAATAAATTAAGAAGCTGATTTTAAAATTCATGTGGAAATGCAGAGTTCTGCAATAGTCAAACAACATTGAGAAAGAACAAAGTTGGAGGACTTTAAGACCTATTATAAAGCTACCATAATCAAATTATTCTCATGTTGGCATCACAGTAGACAAAAATGTCTGTGCAACTGAATAGAGATTATAGACATAGACCTACTCCTACGTGGTCAATTGGTTTTTGACAAAGGAACAAAGGCGATTTATCTTTTCAACATACACTGTCGAAAAAATTGGATATCCATATGTAGTAAAAATGAACTTTGATCCTTACTTCATACCATATGCAAATTCAAAATAATCATAATCTAAATGTAAAACTTACAACTGTGTAAATTTTAGAAGAAAAGAGAAGAGAAAAATTTTTGAGACCTTGGATTATCAAAGATTTCTTTGATAATGATATCAATATAACCCATAAAAGATAAAAAAGATAACTTGAAAAATTATTAGTTGATAAATTGAAAGCTATAAAGTAATAACTTCTCTTCAAAATGCACTGTAAAGAGAATGAAAAAATAAATCACAGGCTGGGAGAAGATATATCCAAATCACAAATCTTATGAAGGATTTCTGTGCAGAATGTGTAAAGAAGTCTCAAAAGACAATTCTGAGGAAACAGACAACCAATTAAAAAAAGATGAAGAGGTTTGAGCAGATACTTCACCAAAGAGTATAAATGGGTGGCAAACCAGAGGTGGGCAAGGTGGAGCAGAGGAGGGGAGAGTTAGCAAGAAATTGGTAAAGGGCCACAAAAAATGATTATATTGTATAATGTTGAATATACTAATTATCCTGATTTGAGCATCACATATTGCACGTATTGTTATTGATATTCAACACTGTACCCCACAGGTATGTATAATCAATTATATTTCAATAAAAAAATTTAAGAAGTATGGCAAATAAGCACACGAAAAGATTCTCAGTATCCTTAGAGAAATGCACATGTAAAGTGCTGACCACATCACATGTTGGTGAGGATGTGGAACAAGGCAGTTCTTACACACAGCTGGTGAGAATGGTCTAACTAGTTTGGAAAACAGTTAAGCAATTTCTTACACAGTGAAAATATACCTACCATATTACACAGCCATCTCATTTTGGGGTGTTTACCCAAGAAACAAGGAAATGTATGTTCATGCAGTGACTTGCATATGAAGGTTCATAGCAGATTTATTCATTCTAATAGCCAAAAATGAAGACAGCTCAAATGTCCTTTAGTGGATTGATGGATAAGCAAACTTGGTACATCCCTATAGTATAATATTGCTCTCAACAATGAAAATAAATGAAGTATTTACACCTGAAGCAACATGGATGAGTCACAAAGTAATTATGCTGAGAGAAAGAGGCCAGACAAAAGAGAGCACATAGTGTATGTTCCCATGTACATAAATTTAGAAAATGCTAATAACTACATATAGTGATTGGAAGCAGATTTGTGTTGGCTTGGGGATGAGATGAGCAGGAGAGAGAGAGGGTACCAGGAATCCTTTGGGCGTGATGGTTGTGTTCATTCTCTTGATTGTGGTGGTACTTTTATCAGTAGCAAAACTTATCAAATTGTGTACTGTAAATATGGATAGTTTTTGTTTTTACCTTTTTTGTTATACCTCTTGAAGCTGTTTAAAATGTTTTATACATTCTTCCTTATGTGATTGATCTAGACAGACAACTGTCAAGTTAGTAAAATACTTAATACTGTGTGTGATTTCATCCAGACCAGTGCTCCCTTTGTGGTTTGTTTTTCATGTGAACTGTACTTCAACATCAGTGTGCAGTTAAATTACTGTTCATTGCATTTAATGAGCAAACTCAGTTCTTATAATGAACATTAGTGTTCACAGATATGTTTACGTGAGGATGTTTATATGTTTCCATGACATAGAACATTCCTGTGTCAAATTTGAAGAGATTGAGCTATTTTCCTTTAGCCTTACACAATATATAATATATTGTCTCAAATTAAGGCAAAATCTGCCATCATCATGAAAGTGAATTTTTGTGTAAGTCCATTTATTACAGTTGAGTTGTGTATAGATAGCAATTTCAGTTACTTGACCAGAGGTTTAGAAACTGAGAACAAAGAGTTATTCAAGCAGACTTTGAGTGACCACTTGATTTGGGGTGTTGTAAATGGTATTTATCTTAAGGACAAATGGCTAAAAGAGATAAAAATCCCTTTCAACTGAGATTTTTACTCTGCTTTGTATATAATCTTTTTTTCTTTTTTTTTTTTTTTTTTACAAGAATAAGTCAAATAGAACTATTTCTTGGCACAATCTGTTAAATGATGTCTTTATGTCATTAATTATTTTATGTGTGCTGGCTGTTTATCTTTTACTAGTTATGAGCTCTTGATGAGAGCCATTTGTGTGCTCCTTGTTTTATCTTTGTGAGAGACTTGTTTACAGTTCTCAGTGTTTAGGCAGTTCTGTCATAATAATGATAAAAACAACTGGTTATTGAGCACTCTGCTAAGTGTGCTCTTTCTATATTTTTGCTGTCTTTAATCCTCTCAGTTACCCTGCATGTTTCATGGTATTACTCTCCTGATCTTGCTAAAGGAGTCTAACAGCAAGTGAAATATGGCAAAACTGGGGTCGGAATTGAAGTCCATCTGGCTTCATCTAACTACTCAGCTGTGCTGCAATGAGAGAAAATACCACCAAATGAGATGTATATTCATTCAGTTAAATGTTACAGTTATGGGTAAGACCATAAAAATAGACTGAGAGAACACAGGACGATTTCCTACATGTTCTGATTTTCAGGACAGGTACCATTTTGTTGATAGCCAAATTAATGTTGAGTAATACTAAACCAAGATATTTCATTCTTCATTTTCTAAATAAGTCAGTATACTTATAAAGCTATCACAAAAGCAAGAATGTAATAAATAACAAGTAGATTTATTGAAAATACATAAAATTAATCTATCGTAATGCGGTATTTCTTAGGAAAAAAGTCTTAAGAACAATATTAGCATATATCAATTGTTTTTTTGGAAATAGGTGAGTGAGATTTTCTCTGGTTCCTCACTGTCCAATCGAAATGTAACGTGAGCTGTAAGAGGGGTCCTCAGAAACTTCACAGAAAGATTTGTATTGTCTTTCAATTCCATTTTTCCACAAACTTTTTGAAGTACTCTTATACATATGTAATTTTATATTTCCTGGTAGCTATATTAAAAAAGAAAAAGGTGAAATTATTTTTTGTAATATACTTAATTTAACCAAATTTATCCAATGATTACCATTTCTACACTAAATCAATCTAACATTATTAGCAATATTATTGGGTTTATACTAGGATTTTGAAATTTGGTGTGTATTTTATACTTCTAGCACATCTCAATTCAGAAGTTAAATTTTCATCTGAAACAAGTGATCTATATTTATATTTGATAAAACTTACTCTTCAAAAAGTAGAGTCACATTCCCATCTGTTCTAACCATATTTAAACATTTTTTTAAACACCTGAGTCCAGTATTAGTTTTTAAGTTTAAATTTTCATCAGTTAAAATTAAATAGCCATGTTTCAAATGCTCGCCAGCTGTTGTAGCTACTGGAATTACAGACTGGTAAGACGTGATTCTTTGCCTCTGTGTGTAGGGGGAGGAGTGGTTAAGGGGGAGCAAGGCATCAGGTGAAATGAATACTGTGTTCAGGACACCAGCCACACAACTGCATTACCGCTGTGTCCTGTGTGCCCTCGCACTTCCTCCTGGCTAAGATGTTTATTCCTCCTGGCTAAGATGTTTATGTCTGCTGGTTATTTGAGGTAGTGCAGAACGCTTGTGGAGACTGCATTACCGCTGTGTCCTGTGTGCCCTCGCACTTCCTCCTGGCTAAGATGTTTATGTCTGCTGGTTATTTGAGGTAGTGCAGAACGCTTGTGGAAAAATAGAATTAAAAGATAATACAAATCTTTCTATGAACTTTTTGAAGACTCCTTGTATTATTTTACAAGTTGGTATATTTTAAAATGGTATTAAATATTATTTTAAATTATTTTAAATATTATTTTAAAAGGCCTCTTTTACTCCATGAACTGTAACTTCTTTTACTTCTAATGCTCTTTTAAGTAGTGTTCATTTATAGCTTGACTTTATTTTTCTTCACACTTAATGTTCAAATTTTAATAAGTTTTATATTGTATATTCAAAGTATATCTCTGTTATGCTTTTCTATGGTTTAATCTCACTGAGATTTTTATAATGGCTGTAATGAAACATAGTTTGTTAAATCATTCCAAATATAGGAGCTAAACCATACCTGTAATTTAGATTCCTGTTTGTATAAGTTTTAAAATATGTATACCTGTTTGCATTCTAATACAGAAACATAAATCAGTGATATCTTTTATCTTTCTCATTCTGAGAATATTCAAAAATCCTAAATGTGTGGAGTCCATTAAAGTATATTTTTAACATTTCATGGAAATAAATTTTTTTAATTGTCAATACCAGGTTTAGCCCCTTATTTTCAATTATTATTATTCATATGCAATATTTCTTGATATATTACAGGAGAAAAGCCTTTCAAATGTGATGAGTGTAACTTTGCCTCCACAACCCAGTCCCATTTGACTCGGCATAAACGTGTGCACACTGGAGAAAAGCCCTACAGATGCCCCTGGTGTGACTACAGGTAAAGACGCATCACTGAGCAGTAAAGTCAGATGGGACACCATGAGGATTAAAATCCTGTTGAATAACCAATAGAAGTTAGTTTTTCTAATGAACATGAATTCACATACTTTAAAGTGTACCTAATTTTAGTGGCTATTTTTAATAGACATTTTTTAGAGCAGTTTTAGATTCACAGTAAAATTGAGAGGATATACAGAAATTTCCCATTTACCCCATAGCACATGCACAGTCTCCCACATTATCAATATCCCCACCCAAGTGATACATTTGTTACAATCAGTGAACCTACATTGACACATCATTATTACCCAAAGTCCATAGTTTACGTTAGGGTTCACGCTGCATGTTGTTCATTTTGTGGGTTTGGGCAAATTTATAATGACATGTATACCTTGAGTATCATACAGAGTTTAGTGACTGTTTAAAAAACATAAAGTTCTTTCCCATTTTTTTATCATCTTAACATTTAGGTTTTGTAATTATTTGTTACACCTGAATTTCCAATTATTTTATTTCATTGCTCAAAGTAAGGACCATTCCAATTATTCAGTACATGTATGGTATCTTATCTCCTATGAGTAAAGCACTCATTTAGACAATGAAGATTATATAAGAAATGTTTCCTGCCTTTTAAGGATGTTATAGCATAGTAAGTGACTTAATATTGATTTCAAAAATTATAATACATATTGGAATGGGTAAATAAAGAGAGGAGTGAGCACACAGACGAGGATCACATTGAGCCGAGATGAGGTACTCACAGAGGAGAGAACATCCCAGCTATGGCATAAAAGATGGTTAAATTTCAAGGACAAGTGTGTTCTAAGAGGATGGGGAGGTGCTTACACCATGCAGAATTTTTGTGCTGAAAGCATCTTGGAGGTCACGAATGTTCAGTCCACTTGCTGGGGTCCACAGTGGGAAAGTAATATCCACCAGGTTGCAGAGTTACTTAGTGGCAGCGGCAAAGCATTGGTGTAGAAAAGTGTGTGATATATGCAGGCAGTGCCAGATCATCTGGCTTTATCGTATGACAGGGTGTGTGTAGGGAGGTGTGGAGGAAGATGAGACAGGGAATAGAACATGCAGTCAGGTCAGGCTGCACTTGGAACTTGTGAGAGTGAGTTTGCACTCCAGGTGGTGGTTTGTGGGACACCAGGAAGTTTTCAGGCAGCTGGATGACAATCTGTCTTAGGAAGCCTGAACTCGAGAGTGAGAACCTTCTTCATCCTGCAGCCAAAGATTCCCATTGTCCTGCCAAAGGTCACATGGATGTTAAGGGTATGTCTTTAAATGCAGCCCACTTGTGCTGAATTTTAGAATATGTTCATTAAACCTGAAGCCTTCTTTATTTTCTATTTTTTTGGAAGAATGAATTTCTTTTATTCCAATTGGCTATTTTAATAGATTAGATAAGCCTAATAATCAAGCAATTTCTACTTAATTTGTGGTGGGTACATATAATTTCAACAGCATAGAAGTATCATTATGCTGAAGGCTTCTTTAAAAAGTAGACTTTTGTATTCCTGTGGATGTAACTTGTGCATTCAGCAAATATATTGCCAGAATCTCTCTTAACAGCCACATTATTGCATTAAGTTTTATGTGAAAGGTCATCGAATAGTAGAGAGATATTACAAATATATTTCGTTTATTAATTATTCATTTATTCAACATTTTATGAGTTGTCTTTGCTTAATACTAGATTGGTGTTTCTTGAAAATTTGGTAAATGGCGATCCAATTAGAGGTAGATAAAGAAATTCTAAGGTGCTGATAATATGGGTTCTTTAAAAAAATAAACATTATGGAATGCTCTTTTTCTTTGTTAAGGAGATCATAACTGTAGTTGCCTCCCTCTAAAACACAGAAAAGCAATTAGAAAATTAATTATAAAAATTTTCTCTAATTATTACTCTTAACTCTTAGGAATATATCCTTTCACTGTGTACTCTATGCATAAGGTTTTTGTTGTTTTGTGGGGATTTTTTGTTTCTTTCAGTATAAATTTTATTTTTCTTAACAAATTATAACTACCTTTTCCTTGTCAATAGTCATTCTCCTGTATAACTTATAAGTACATTTCATAATTAAAATTTGTAATATTTCCTTCTTATACTTATAACATTTATTTATTATAACATTAGAAATAACATTATAAGACTGTTTTGACAAGCAAAAAATTTTTAAATGTGGGGAGTTACTGATAACAATGGCTACTGAATTAGCTTCAGTATGCAGTCTGGTATAAGCACGCTGCATGAGGATGTCGGTAAGAGCCCAAGCTGTATGAAGGATCCAGGCTCAGCACGCACTAACCATGTGGCCTTAGTCAAACTGTTTAACCTCTTGGAGTTGCCACTTCCTCATTAGTAAAATATGTATTATTACTGGACCACCCTCATAGGATCATTGTGAATATTAGATAAGAAACATTGACATTACTTAGCCAGAGCCTGGCACATTGGAGTCTTGATAAACATAGGGCCTTGTTTTCCTTGTCTCCTCAGGTGAGTATATATAGCATGGTTATAGGTTTTATTTCACCTTTTAATCTCTGGTACTGTTCAATGAGTTAATGCAGGAGTTCCAATGTCCTGAAGGTCTTTAATGTGTTAAAATTTCACCTATAATACAAGCCAAGATGGATTTTTAAATAGTTTTCAAAGTAGTTAAAAATTTATTAAATCCAAAAATCAGTTGCTGGGTAATTGCTAGTTTGAAAACCACTCTTTTGCAGGATATGCTGTAGCTTCAATACATGCATGGCCTAAGTTACACTGATAAACAGTAGCCCATCATGAAGTTTTTAGACGTGTATGCCATTTTCAGGCTTTTACTCTGAAAATGCTTGTACTTTAATCTTATGCATATCCTTAATTTTTTTAAGAGTAAATTCCTAGAAGTATGGCTTAAGGCTTTTGATAGTACTAATGCAAAGGTTGCTATTTGATTTTTTTTTTTTTTCCTTTCTCCAGTCAGTAGTGTGCTTTGATAGGCTCTTGGTCTTTGTATGCTTAAAAGTATTTTAAAGTATTTCGGATTTTCTTGGTTAGAAAGTTGTTATTACTTTTTGCTGAGGTTGAGGTTATCGTACTTGTCCCCTATTCACGTTATCTCCTTGAAATAGCATAACCTGCTCTGAGTAGTGCGTGTGAGCCAGCTGGATCCCATCCATGTGATGCCTCTGTCAGGTCCTGCATCAAAAAGGAGATGGAGTTTGCTAAGTATATTGTTATTGTCTGTTGAATTAATACTTAGGACCTTTAAATCCAGTGATATCTACCACATTTCCTTTTCAAATGCTAGTGTCCTTGATAAAAAGATAATTTTTATCTTTATTAAAACTTTTGAATAATTTGATTATTATTGAAAGTGAATAGTTTGAATACTTTCTGTTCATCCAGCAGTTTTACCGTTCTGTGTACCATATGGATAGTTTTGCTTTTGCTAGTGAACAAAAGGCAAGTTAACTTTGACCGGGAGTACAAAAAACTTGCAAGTATAAGAATACTTCTGTATTTCAGCGCTATGGATGAAATGTGGAAAGTAAAACAGATACCTTTGTTGATGAGAAAAAGATTTAAAAATGGGTAGATAGTTAAGTTCAAAAAGATTGTTTTAGTTGCATAGAGTAGGAGGAACAAGATACCATATCTGCTTCACATAAACAAAGGAAATGTCTTCTTTCACTGGATAAATAAATTTGAATACCTATGATTTACATAGATTTAAAATGCCTTTAGGATGATCTCATATTTCCTAAGCAATTTATTTTATTTTCATATTTACCTTATTAGTAACTTTTCATAATATTTTATTGCTCAAAGTATTTAAATAACTTTTTCCCATTTTGATTTTTATTTGCTTTATATAGATAGATAAAAATTATTTCTGTATTCCTTATCTTTGTCATTATTCCCACTTATTTGCAGGTAAGTTACATCATTAGAATCTGAAATATTACTTAAATTTCATTTGAAAATATATTTCTCATGTTATAAATTGAACATTAGTTGAGAAATACTAGTAGTTATAATTATTCATGAAAAATGCAAATATAGATTTGTTTACAAAAGAATTTTATAATTGGTCTTTTGAACCTGGGGCTATTTTTCAAGTTTGCATTATTAATTTAGGCAATGACATCTCATTCTATTCAGATGTAAACAAGTACTCCTTTCCTTAGCTTTTACTAACTAAAGTATCCAAATGTCTAATCCATTACATATCAGTACATTCCATTATTACTTCAAAACTTTTGCACCATTAATTACTATTCATTATAATTTCAAAGAGTAAATTTAGATACATAGCACACTGTCCTACCGTATTATTTATGCAGCAAGTTCTTTAAAGTTGTTTTTACAATAAAATGGAAACAGTGTAACATTTTTCTATATTATTTCCCTTTGTTACGTATTGCCATCTCTGTATTAATGGGAGAAAGAAATAGAGAAATACTTTGTTATAGTAAATTTCCTTTCTAATAGTATAAAATCCTTACTTCCCCATAGAATTTGTTAATATCAAACTGCTTTCTCTTTCACTTATCACACTGGCTTCCACATGAGAGTAGATGCCTTTCACTAAAGTGGCCACAATTGGATGTACATTTACATGGAAATTATCTGCCCATTGGCTTCCATTTTTTCTTTAGGATTTATGGAGGAAATACAATAAACGCATATTAATAAACCACTGGGAAGTCACGGAAAGTAACACAAAATACTACCTGCAGTATTAAAAATATTAAGGATGATCCTATATTGTACTTTAAATGTCATTTAGTAGATATGGAAAACTAAAATTCAGTGCCAAGCCGTGGCAGTTCCATCATTTGTGTACTGTATCCCTATGATCAAACTTGGGAGAGCAGCTGGGTTTCTTAAGACTAGTTTTGGCCAGGTTTTTTTCTCAACTGCATTACTGCCTTAGGACTTTGAACCTTACACACTCTTCTTTTTTAAAACTGATTTTTACCCTTCTACTTTTTTCT